AACATCCCAGGCAGATCAATCGCAACCTTTTGAAGGTATCTATGGCAACTGTGTGCGTTCTGAAAAGCAAATGAGTTCCTAAAAAGAGGTGGAGAGTCGAATCAGCGTGGCAATTCTGGTGTAAAAGAGGCCAAATTGCAAAGGGCGGATCCACTGCGTGTGATGTCGTAAGAGGCAATGTGTGCCTGAAAAAAGTATTTAGAAATTAATTTTGATCGTCTAAAAAGCCTAACATTGCTAAATCAGCTTCAGGCATGGGACCATTGGCTCGGAGAAAGGAATTGATGCGAAAGGTCATGCGCAGGGGCCAATCGTCCCATGCCTGATTTGTCGGGTCGCCACTCTGAACATATGCCACCACTTCGTCTTCCGTTAAGGAACCCTCCCTGTTTCCGGAAATCACATCCTCTAGTCTCATTCCGTCCATCATTCGCTCGCAATGGTTGCAGACAGAGCCATGGGTTGGGCGAGCTACCCACTGGCAAATATGACAGACGGGTTGGTCTTCAAGGAAATCCAAGGAAGCTAAGAAAAAAAATCAACATGAACAGGTTGGGACCCAAAAACGCGCCGCCAAATTCATTTTGGCTCGTCGAGGGCAAAGGCAAAGGTGGCTGGGCCACAGGACGTGCCGAAGAAAATCGAGATTGGGAAACACGTCTACAAACCAAGAAAAGAAAAGGGTGTGAGGGAAGGAATGGACCCCAGACCGGGCGATAAAAAAAAGCGATAGGACTTACCAGCCATTCTACGGCGATGGACATCGTGATCCAGTTTTCTGGCAAGTGGATGGTCCCACGGCAGTGTCTTGGCCAAATCTCGTATCTCCTTGAGGGTGCACCGTCGGAACAGGGCGCTCACACAGTCTTTCCGCAGGGGAAGATGCCACAATATCTTCAAAAGGTCAAATAGGACCGCGAGGGGCACGGAGTACAATACCAGCGCTTGAAGAGAGTTCACCATCTCTAACAGCTAGACTGAACAGAGCGGAATGAGCCAACAAGTAGGAGCGCAATGCGTTTTGGAGAGTCAACTCAGGGAGCTGATTGGTAGAGAGGCATCACGAGGGGATGACGTGACCGAAAGGACACTCTAGGGGGTACCCCCCATGGCTACACTTTTAATCGATTTCGTGTTGATAGTGTGATGTTTTTCCACCAATCCTGCCCCTGGCCATGATCTCGTGATGATCATGTGATGATGATGTCACCCCATCACGCGAGGCTGGCTACAAAAAGGAGTGACTCATTGCCTCACATTCGTTGCTTGCTCGTCGACATGAATACCAAGGACTCGTTGACCCCGAGGACAAGCCGTTTGGCGACGTGTTGCCCTTCGAAGTGCAGTTGAAGATTATGTTTTGGGTGGAGTGCATGCTCACCAACGACAAGTGGCAAAAAGTGAATCAAGAATTCAAATGGTTGCCCAAATGCGATGTGACAGGCTTCCAAAAACACCTTGGCGAGGATCGATGGTGGAACCAAGTGGTGCGGTTACATGCGCCCAGGAAAAATGGCTGTCATCATTGCCACCGAATATTCGACCACAAGTTATCGGTAAGTGAGAGGGGTGATGGCATTTGTTATGTTCATAGCTGAACCATACACTTGGATCGTTTTTTATTTTTACAGATGAGTATGATGGTGGAAATGGCTCGTCAGCCCCCGAACCTGGACAACCTCATGAACAAGGGGATTGCGTTTGCCATCGACCGTTTTCAAGTGAGCCTACCCATTTGCCCCATCGGACGCCGCCCTGTCATGATTGGGAGAAGGAAACGGGCCTATAATACCATCGACAAAGTCATGGGACGATTGAATCGAATTATGATGGTCCTAGAAACCATGAGACACACTGCTATTGTGGATGTACATTGAGATTTTTTTTTAAACGTGTTACATGTCCTGTCAGTGTCGTCCTGTTTTTTTGTTCATGAGCGTCGGAATAAAGCGTCCAAGGTGGGATAGACCACCTTGTCTTCTTCTCGGGTGCCTACAATGGCGGTTTTGTCCTGTAATGTGGGAAGGGCTATCTGTTCCTCGGTCATGCCTTCACAGGGTTGATAGTGTTGTAGGGTGGGATTCCACCAATACCACTGTTCCATATCCAAATCAAACACATAGAGGGGTTTGCCAAATATCTGAGCCATGACCACACTCCAACCCGTACCGCCCAACACATGCTTGCGTAACTCATCAAAATACCCCAACGCCAAGACCAAGGACGCAAGCTTGATCACGTAATAATTGCGTTGTAGATACTGGAGGGTGATGGGATGGGAGACGTGTCGACCCAATCGAAAAGCCACCTGAGTGACGGTGGGTGTGGCAGCGTCCAAGTCGGGCTGGGTCAAGGGTGCGAGGAACTTGGCTTGAGGGTGACAGGGTGGGATGAGGACCACACATGAATGACCATACAGGTGACATAAACGTTCCACATGCGTATCCACGCNATAGTGTTGTAGGGTGGGATTCCACCAATACCACTGTT